TTTTCCGGGAGGTAATGGCGGAACATTTGCCATTTTGCATACTTTAATATCAAAAATTAACGTGTTGGGAACCAATCGTTTGAGTCTCTTTGGATTAAAACCATTATTATTATTATTATTGAGTTTGTTGTTGTCGTTATCATCATCGTTGTCGTTTTTATGGTTGTTGTTACTTTTATTTTTCATCAACTTGAAAAAGTTTGATCTGTTACATTCTTTAACATCTTCCCAAGCATCAAAAAAAAGAAATCTTGCGGCTAATTTTTTATAAATATAAATATATATAATAAGTAAAAATATATAAAATTTTCAAAAAAAAAAAAAACTTACCAAAAGTTTGATGTTTAATAAAGTCTTTAGTTTCAGGTTTTCTATTGTATATTTTTTCAAATTCTTTCATAAACGTTTCAATAGATCGCTTCAATTTTTCGTAAAGAAGATTGTTTTTCTGTTTGGTGAGATATTTCTCCTCTGTTTTAACTTTTTCTGCCACTTTTTTGGAAAATATCTTAATTTCTTTGGCGACTTCAGTCATGAATTTGTTCTTCAAATTTTTTGAAGTTTCAAATTCCAAGTCTCTACCCGTTGCTGCTTTATAATGTTTGTTAAAATCATTCAAAAACCAATGAATTTTTGCACCAAATACATTCAAGATATCGCAATCAGTTGATTCTGATAGAACTAAATCCATAGTTAACGTGGATAGATATAAAGATTTAATAAATATATATATATATTCTATTTTTTAAAATATTAAATATTCTCTGAAATAAAAATAATCTATATAATTAATTGTTTGGAAAACAAACGCGTGTTATTTTTATTTTCTTTTTTTTGGTGACACGGATATTATAGATTGCAGATCGATTATCAACAGTAATATATACTTTTGGCAAATGCGAAGGTCGAAAGTAACGATAGCTAATGCCGAAATGCCGAAAGTCACATGATGTTTCACGAAAAAGATAAAAACAAGATTATTGCTTTTGCAAAGGTTGTAAAAGTATTAGTTGGTTGGGCCGCTGATTCAGATAAAATCAAAAGCCTAAATTTACTTGTGAATAGTATAAATAAAGGATTGAAGAAATATTTAGTGGGCGTGAGGAAAAGCTACTCTTTCTACTGTATTTTGTACAACAACTTTCTTTCTAACGCAAAAATCACATCAATAATATTTATTTATTATTATTAAATGTTGGATAATGAAATAATAATTATTACTATTTAATGTTGAACTCATCGGATCTTTTGCATGTAAATGAAAAAAAAAAATGGATGGTATCAATGAATTTTTGAGACTTAATTTTTACATTAAATCTTTTTTAGTTTTCAAAATCACTACTTGAGTTGTTCCTTTGACCAATACATACGTATGTATATATATCTATGACGTACAAACGAATAAATGCTTTTTATTTCAGGCCACATGATTTTTAGATCGTTTCCAAATATGATACCAATTTCTTTTTTCACAAATAAATGGCAAACGTATTCAAAAGGTAATAAAACTATTGTTAAATAGTAAATATGTAAACTTTGCATTTCAATCTTATCGACAGGAACTTTCAGAAATCAATAGAGAACCACCTGTTGGAATTAGTGCAGGACCTGTTGATGATAATAACTTACTCAGTTGGGCAGGTAGTGATTTACTCTGTCGTCATTTATTTTCCTTTTGGTGATTTCACACTCACTACTGGCATTTATTTAATTACTTTTGGATAGCCACAATTTTAGGACCTGTATGTAAACTATATATGTGTGTGTGTATAAGATATTTGTACGTTTTATATATATTATATTATTTATTTGTAGGCTTCTAGTCCATACAAGGTGGAATTTTCAAATTTGAGATTGATTTTTCACACGACTATCCATTTAAACCACCATCAGTAGGTTTTTTATATATTCGAATTAGTAAATGATGT